CTCTGCATATGCATATCTCCACCGAACCGAAAAATAACCTCTTAACGACCTAATAGTGTGCCATTAGCCTTGTCACTCTAGCCTTTAAAGGAAGTCTCTGAACGTCTTAAACGCCACGTTGTTATCCTTGATATTCAAAAATGGCTGCAATGAATTGAACAATTTGCATTCTTCCCGTGACTCACTGCTACCCTATCTCTCCCTGCCCCTGTTGTACTCTTTCTCTCCTCCTATCAGGCCCCTGTGGTGGTTCTGTGCCTTCCCATACAGTCTCCTCATCTTCATTTATGATGAGGTCCGTAAATTAATTCTGAGGAGGAGCCCCGGAGGTAAGCAGTTATTAAGAGAAACTGAGATTATAAGGGTTCAACCTTCTTTGTCTTGTTAAGAAGCTGAAAGAAACATTGGTGATTGACACAACTATCTCAGGAACCACATGTGCCATTTTCCATCAAGACCACTGTATGTCTGTCAGCTCTCCTACTATCCGCTAAAAATACACATCCTTAAAGAGTAGGCTGTCCACTCCCATAAGGACACACTGATTGACAAAGTGGCTCCAGCTCTCCTCTGTTAATCTGACCTGAAGGATCCCAGCAGCATCTGACGGACAGTGACACGCAGCCGGAGATCAAGTTCAATGTCAGTCTGAAAAAATATATAAAAACAACATCTGACTGTTTTGAGATAAAAAGGGAAAGTACAGGTACCAATTGTACTAAACAATATTGGTAGCAATGATGGATGGTTCACAAAAGATGTAAGCTTATATTTTTGAGTTGCGATAAAGATATGGGTTTTCAACATTGTTGCCAGCTATAACAAAAGTAAGAATCATATAAATTATTATACATTTTTGTAATGATTTTATATTTTAATTGTTATTATCATGTATTAAACAGATATATATACTGTATATCAAATATAATTACTAAGTGCTTGACCTAAAATACAAAAATATATATGAACTATGAAATGAACTAAAACCCTTGTAAAATAAAGGTCCTTTTTTTCTTGGACAAAGTACATGGTGCAAATATAGCAATGTACCATAGTGTAGCTGTCAGATTATAAAATTGTCATTGTAATTTTAACCTGTATTATAAATAATAATTTAGCTTTAAAAGTCATTTTTTAAATCCCAGCTTTAAGTGATGCAGCTTAAAATGATCAGGCCACTCAATGTCTCAATCTTCCAGGTTTGATCCCTGACAAAGTAGCATGCTGACTGGCACTTTGCTCAGGAATTCAATTTGACAAATGGAGCGTAAAATCAAGGCAAATAAACACGACAACATTCAATGGCGAAAACTTTATTTTCCCTTGCTGATAAACAGACGGTGGTGAAAACACAAGCCACTACTAATTATACTAATAAAAGCAATGAAGAAATATCCAATCCATTTGATTTCTATAGCACATTTAAAAACAACAGAGTTGAACAAAGTGCTGTACACCAACAACTGAAGCATGAAAAACAGAAAGGGCATGAAACAAATGTAAAACACGAGACAATGAAACCAGATCAAAAGCCACAGACTGAGAAACTCTGACGTAAAAACAATATAAAACACCAGTAAGACAAAAAGCACAAGTGTCATAACTTTCTGTAAATGCAAGGGAAAAGAAGTGGGTTTTTAAACGAGATTTAAAAACAGGCAGAGTTGGAGCAAGTCTAACCTGGAGGGGCAATTTGTTCCATACCAATAATATGATAATAGATTATTACAAAAACAGAGTTATTCTATTTGTAGCATGAAGGTAAAAACCTTTAGCAACGTGTTAAAAGTCGAGAATGTAGACAACAATCTTTATGGACTCCGACAACTCAGTGAACATGTGTTGAATTTGCACCAGGAAAGAGATTACACCTGTCCAACAGCAACAGATTCAGAAGAGAATGACGAGAAAGGAAATGAAAGCAGGCTGATGAAGACTCTTGAGATACGCAGCGAAGATCATACACATGATATGGACACACGACAATAGCTCCAGATCTGTTCACTGCCACAGCGTTTCAGCTGATGAGGGCCGAGGCATGGAGAGACAAATACAATTTATCGTGACAGCTAATCATTTCTGTTAATCTTTGTGTCACGGGCTGCTGATCAGAGTCTTGGTGTTATAGGGGGATTCATTTAGAAATATACGGAGATAAAGCCACAGAATACAAATAGAGCGAAACAAAAGGATATTATGAAAACTGCTGCCTGCCATTTTGGTCTCTGACAATTCCTCCCTTTCTCTCTCTCTTCCAGGTTGGGTGGAGCAGGAGACATATTATTAACATTCAGAAATGTCAGTTTGAATTGTGTGTGTGTGTGTCATGAGTAATATTGCAAGGATCAGTTCACAAATCTGATTATCACAAAAATCACTGCTGAAAATAAGCTTTTGATTGTGTTTCCAAAGAACAATGTTAATGCTGTATGTGCCTCACATGAACTGTAACTGAAGTGATGTATCATGGCCTTTTTGGCTATGGAGGAATACCAAATGTGGTTCGTCATGTGAAATGTACCAAATAAAATGTATTCCAATATAATATTCCTGGACATTGTTTTAATTGTTGTTCATTTGTTGTGTGAACTGTAGTATTCCTTGATTGGAGAACGTAGACTGTCAATTTCAACTTTACAATGCCACATAATTCTAATAATAATACATGTCACATCCTGGCCCTGGCTGATCGCCTCACTCCCTCACCTGTGTATTTTCGCTCCCTGTTAATCACCTGCCTGGTCTCAATGAGCCTCAGCTGTCCCTAATGATCACTCCTCACCTGTGTATTTAGTCTGTGCTGTTTCCTTGGTCAGTGCCAGTTCGTCTTGTCTGTATAGCAGAAGGTGCTCCATGTTTCTCTTCTGACGTAAGCTATTGTTCTAGCTGCTTAGCATTTGTACCAACCTTGTTTTTTTGTTGCTTCTCCAGTAGTTTTCCGCCAACTTAGTTGGTTGTTTTTTGTTACTTCAAGTCAGTAAATGTTTTGATCATTGCCTGTTTTATTTGTACCTTTTGGATTAAACGCTTGACTAAAGACCTTATTGCCTGGTTGTGCTCTTGAGTCCTATTTTTTCCTCGTGCCCGTACTAGTGCTTGATACATGATACTTGTATAGCGCTTTTCTAGACACTCAAAGACGCTTTGACAGAGAATAATGTTTAATAAGTAATGATTTTTAAATCACTAGATCTGCCTTTAAGTGTTCATGCTACTCAATGAGAACAGGCCACACTGAAAGAATAATGGATTTTAACACAAGAAAGATGTCGGTAAAAAACAAATACAAGACATGAAAAGAAAACAAGAATATAAATAGAATAAAATATATACATTCGCTGTGTTTAATGTAAAGGAACCCTCATATGTTAGTGACAATTATACACATCAAGTTAAACAATGTTATATTTTTAGACTGAATATTGGTATCGGCTTCAATATGCAGTGTGAGTCAGGCTCTGCTGTGCTTCCTGATAGCATCATCCATTATGTATGTCCTTGTGTCTTCTCTTCACTAGACACCCTTTACTTTACTGTCAAAATAGTCAACAAACTATGGACAGGCAGCAGCGCATTTTACTCCCAAACCTAAACCAGCTCTGTGTTTAAGCTAGTTGTTCAGAATGGTTTACAATACAATTACTTGGAGTATTTTATCTGTTTTATTGTGTTGCACTGTTGGAGGAGCCTGTGACCTAATATTGTCATTGTCACATCTACACCGTAGCTATGCAGACATGACAATTAAGTCTTGAAACTTGAAATATGTGGGATTTTGCTTTAAAATATAATTCAAATGATTATCACAATGCCAATACTAGTTTACTGATCAACTAGGCTACTAGTTTTAGCTCTTAACTCAAATAATAAAGCATCTATCATAGTATGTTTTGGGTCATTCCAGAATTGGAGGACATTTCATGTCCCCCATATAAAAAATCTAATAATCCATGCCCAAAATGCTAAAACATGCACTTGTGTTAAACATACTTGTCTTGAGACTAAATGTATATAAAGTTGTAGAAAAAGTGGTTTCAAAATATTATTTAAATGATCAAATAGCTCTCGAACATCCCCTAAAATGGCATTTTTCTCCCCGCTTCTTGGTGACCAACTTGCATGTCAAATATAACATTTAAAATAGGGATTTTATTTCCTTTTTTTGGTATTATTCTATTGATATATGTCTCTTGTAATGGTAAAATCAATTTGTTAAATCATAAACATATTTTAAATAACAGTAATTTTACACAGAAGGTGTGTCCCTCAACATGCGTTCAACCCTGTTACCCAAACCTTTTTAGATTGGCACAGGAAGTGAACAAACTGTAAATCAGATGACACAGTGGGAGTGACAAGCCAGCAAGCCATGTGCTGGACCAAAACTAAGTCCTCTTTTTTTACAATCTTTTCAGTCTTAAAAGAGTGTGGCACTCTGACCCACTCAACCCTGTTACTGATATTATCAGAATAAAGCATATTAATTTCAAAGTTATCTTTCTTGCATTAGATATCCAAGTTTGTCCTTGCCTTGAAAGTAGCATTACATGCTACATCTAGCAATAATTCCTGAGGTTAAAGCTCAAATTAGCATTGATTTTCAACCCTGTTACTATAATTAGAGTAACAGGGGTAATTCTTCATTGGAAAATATACATTTGATGCCTAGCTGGGCAAATCACTTTGTTTTGTCTGTTTTTCCTAAATACATTAAAAAAAAATCTAAAATAAAAGGTTCATTTAAAAAAAATGTTGGTGTCTAAATTGTCCTCCAATTCTGGAATGACCCTGCAAGCTATATTTCTTATATTGAAGCTGGAAAGGGGAGAGCAGGCTCACCATTATGAAAACATGTTAGGGTGTTATGAAATAGATGTGAAAGATGAACAAGCTCATACATGTGAATGATACAAGCCTATCTGGATGTATTATAAGAACTTAGTCGATATCCTTGACCCAGCCTGACTTTAAAACAACCGTTTAAGGGAGGGATTGGGAACAACAACATCCGACTACGCCACTTCCGCTCACTGCCTGTCAACCATGGCGCTACTCCTAAGGTCAGTACATCTGTGCTACATACTGTTTGGGCTCGGGGAAAGCTTATTGTGTTCTTTGTAAGGGTTATCATGACAAAGAGACACATTAACAGCACGGTGGCGTTACAGATGAGTTCATTACACCCGAGTGTTACTTTCTACTGTGGTTTATTTTCACTATTTAGCGTAAATATGGTGCGACAGACGTTAGCTGGCGGGCTAACGCTAGCTCTTTTTCAGGTATTTTAAGCTAGCAGAAGGAGGACTTTGACACTTCTAATACTTATGTACGATGTCAAACGTTGTTATTTAGTGCCTAAAGCCGTTATATGGGTGTTGTGTGACGGGTGATAAACGAACGTAACAGGAAAGTGTTTGGCTTGTACCTGAAAGGTTAGCTAGCGTTAGCTACATTGCTACGCTGCCGTGCCTTTACCAACGATGTTATAAAGTAAAAAGTCAAGTGCTTGTCGAACTTTGTCCACTCCATTGACCTTAGGTTGCTGTTGAAGGTGAGCACAGTGCATAACAGACGTATTAAACCAACCTTGATCTCTCTAGGAGTTTGCTTATTGTTACTTTGCACGATAGAGTCTGGTTTAGGCATAGGGGTCATTACTACATACTGACTCGTATTGCCTGCAAAACTGTTAATAGTTTTAAGACAACCATTGACCGATTCTGGCAATCAGAGCGGTACAGATTACCATGACTGAATATTAACATTATTATTATTTGGAGATCGGAACAACTCACAGGAGCTATGCTCCAAATCCTAGTTTATTTCGAACGTTTTGGAAGTTCTTGTTTTCTAGCATTGCTTATGTGTTGGGTTGAAATGGGTACTGCACATCCAAGAAACCCTTAAAGGTCCCATGTCATGGCCATTTCTACTGATCACAATTCCATTGTTAGGTCAACTAGAATATATTTATATTGTTCAATTTTCCAAACTCACATTGGTTTCTCATACAGCATCTCTGTTTAGTATGTGTGTTCACTCTCTGTCTCTGTTCACCTTCAGAACCTCTCTTAAAGAGCACCTTCGGGGGAGAGCATTGCAAAACTGGCCCCGGTAATGGTACAAATCTCAACCTGTCATTCAATGGACAGCTTCCCCCCCCCCCCCATCTATGTATATACTCGCATTTTAGACTCTGTTACTAACTGTATATCTGTAGACTTGGTATGTCTTAAATGTCCGGTTAGGATGTATTAGAACGAAATCTAAAATGAAAATTGTAAATAAGCAATCTGTATGTAAAAAACCACCTGTATGTAAATTGTAAATAAGCCATCTGTATGTCTTATATGTCTTAAATGATATGATGAATTGGAAATGGGGGACCCTGATGTAAACAAGACGAAAGTCTTTCTCTGGTCTGCATCCCCTTAACAATTGTATGTTTTGAGCTGTACTGTACTGTACCCAATATACAAGCTGTTAATAAACTTTTCAATCAATCAATCAATCAATCAATGTCCTAAACGGCTTGTTGGAGCTCCTGCTTTGATTGTTGTTCCTCACCATTTAATGTATTCAAAGCTTTTATATAGGACAGTGTTAATATTATTTGCAGATATATATATAAAAACATGTTATTTTTATTTGATCATTCAGTGTTGTCTCTGTTTCAATTAGGGATGCACGATAATTATCGGTCCGATATTAGGAATTATGACGTCATCCCGATAAACCCGATACCAGTATTAATATCCCCGATAATATACAATATATTTTTTGGGTGAAAAAAATACTGCGGTGTGGGTGGATTGGGATGAGGGGCGCTTGTTTTTCACTCGGCTCCTCCCGTTTTGCCAGTACTGTGGTATTAGTGGTTTAGGAAGAGGGGAGTTCTTCACAAATCCAGCGCTCCCTAACTCATGCCTGGCTGTGACGTAAATGGTGTGCGGCCGTGAAGCCAGGACAGTAAACAAACATGTCGTCGGTGGTATGGACGTTGGAGCTATGTGCAACTCAAGGCATATGCTCGAACCGGAGCTGCCTGGATGCTGCAATCATGTTGCACACTATTCTTTCACACACAGTGACGTCACGAGCTACCCACAATGCAACGCGCGCCATATATATATACAAATACGCCATTTTCCTGGAGGTGCTAATATCCTGGAGGTGCTAATATAAACAGCTAGCTAATGTAGCCAGGCAGAGCGCACTAGGTTTTTTTTCTGAATTAACGACCGAAGAAATCGCTGCATGTCTTCGGATTACATCTCTGGACTTGAGGGGTGTGCTCTAGGTCGTTACCAGCGTAAACTAGAGTTGTGTGGGTTGTCCGATTGCCCTTACAGACTGCCTGCAGATGTATGGAAAAACGACTCTCGAAAGTGGCCTTCGGTCGATTTTGGCAGCATCTATGTCTATCTTCTGGAAACACCAGGTGAATACCCCACTTGTCACAATAATATTATCATGCCATTGCATATATGTGGTATTTTAGAGTTGACTAGATATTGATTAAGGCAATAGACTATGATATTCTGGTTGCACCTCGTGTGAAATGGCGGATACCGGAAGTACGGTGTCGCCCTCGGCCCAAAACCCGTGTGTGTGAAAGAATCCGTGCTGAGTGTGCTGACTTTTCGTACAATGTCCCACTGTCTGGCTTCCTGCATAAAGTCAAGTGCTCGGCGCATTTGTGGCGAAATGTCGCTCCTCTGTTTTCATTTAAACAGCTCCTTATATCCGTTAGCGCAGCTAGCTAGCACTAGATGCTAACAACAACAATGCACGTAAGGTCTCTCGCTCGCTCGGGCCACACATACACACACCCTCCCGGTCCTCCAGATGTCCAGTCGGTGCCTATATATACAGTCTATGGTCGGTGCCTGCCGGTGAGCGTGGAAGTGTGGTCTGCCACAAGCGGGCGGCAGGAGCGGGGCTGTCAGCATCAGCTTGTAGATGGTATTTTAAACTCGATGCGCTCTGAAAATACGGGGCGGCCGAGGAAAAAAAATACACATGAGTTAATCGCGTTAAAATAATTAGTGGCGTTAACTAGGGATGTCCCGATCACCTTTTTTTTGCTTCCGATCATTTGATTTTGACAATCTGCCGATACCGATTTTTCCCTTTCCGATCTTTATGCAATGCATTAAGAGAAAAAGGTAACAGATAACGGCTGGTCATCCAACGCGATGAATTCAGCTATCTTGGCTGTTATTTTTTTGGCCTTTTCACTGCTCTGGGGCCGTTTCTCTTTCCTTTTAAAAGTGTCGGTTGTTTCAGTGCCGTTACCCGAGTGGCCGCTGTGTACTCGTCGTGTTGTTGTTGGTTTCTCAGGTGGCGTGTTAGATTGGTCGTGTTGAACGTAGCTCTGTTCTTTCCACCACGCGGAACCTCCTTCTTGCAAACATTGCATCTGGCTGTTACACTGCCTTCGATTTAAATGTTATAATACTTCCAAACTCCTGACATTTTCTCTGTCCCGACTCCCGAGTCACCAGCTGAACGGAGCCTCTCGTTAGCTTACTGCTACTATTAGACACTGCGCCCACTCTGTTGCCAGATTTGAGAGGAATAAGAAACCAGGTCTGAAAACAAGCCCAAGAGAAGCAACACATACATGATGTTGTGTAATCTTAAACCAAAACTAAGGCCTCAGGATGACTTTAAGACGTGAACATGGTCATTTTTGTTTTGTAACATTAAATAAAATTAATAAAATAATAAAAATATTTTATAATTTTTTTTTGAAAATATCCCGATCCCCGATTTTTTTCCTCCCGATTCTGATCTTTTGAAAATCACGTGATCGGCTCCGATCCCCGATCATGTGATCGGATCGGGACATCTCTAGCGTAAACATTTTGTTGTTATCGGTATCGGTCTTGAGAAGCAGGAAGTTATCGGTATCGGTTTCAAAAAACAATATCGTGCATCCCTAGTTTCAATGGAATAACTGATATAATATGCTTATTTTCTGTTTGACCTTACCACACCTTTAACGGCATCCGCCAGAAATAAACGTTTATTTTAACCCTTTCTTCTTCTTGTGTTCAGGACGTTTGCCCGGCAGGGTGTGTGTCTCTCCAGACAGCACTACGGCGTCTTCTACAGACAGTAAGTTGTCTAATGTGTTGCATACACTACTGCAACTCATAGGAAGGATACAGACGCATGCTTAAACCTATGCATTGCTTTTCTTATGTACTCTAAACATGTTTTATTTCTACAGTGCTGCTCCCATGGGAACCACAGCTAAGGAGGAGATGAACAAGTTTTGGGCCAAAAATAACAAATTAAACAGGCCCATGTCTCCTCATCTCACCATTTACAAGTACGTACTCTTTTTCAATTGCGTGGCTATGTTTTGTCCAGAAAATGTATGTTTCATAAAATCAGCTAAATGTATGTTTCATAAAATCAGCTAAATGTATGTTTCAAAGAATCTAAAATAATATTGTTAATGTTCAGAGAGTGCTGTCTTTTCATTCTTACAAAATGGCAGGAAAGTCAACATGTTCAAGCCTTAATACATTTAGTTCAATGAGCAACTTAATGTACTCAAAAATAAACAGACATTTATTTTGTATGTGCCTTTTATAATTTCACACTGGCTTAATTGATTTAATTGTAATGTTATTGTTCTCCGTCACTTGGAATCATTCCTGTCCGGCTTGAATTGTAACTAACAATTATTATTATTACTACAAATGAATCTCATCAAACGTTTGATCTCTGTACTATGCTGCATTGATGCGAGCGAGCCTAAACTAAAACAAGCGGTTTAAGTTTGACTTGTAGTTTGTAATATGTTTAAACCACATGTTGTATTTTTGTAACTGTATCAAATAAATACAAATGAAACTTACAAAGTGGCATTTTGTTTCCGTTTCAGCTGGTCCGTCCCCATGGTGATGTCCATCACATTCAGAGGAACTGGAGTGGGGCTCAGTGGAGGTAACACATCCGTCATTAAATCAAAGATATTTAAAAATGACATGTTTAATATAAATGATTTGCTGTGGCCAATTGTTTTCATTGCATGTACAGACCCTTGTGTCTCTCTGATGCCACCCAATGAATGCACTGACTTGCTCGTAGAACCACGCTACACAAAACAGATGCAACACCTATAAAAACTTAAGCATAGACATTTTAAAAAAGGGGCTACTGTATGGATATTTTAAAATTGTATTTAAGGCGAGACACGGCAGGCAAAAACATCGTTTTTCAAGTACTGGTCAATTTTGAGATTTTGTGCTATTTTGATTCCATAACATGTTTTCTTTCAGGCTTTTGGAAGGAAAACGTACAAAATACACATAAGTGTTTATTTTACTATAGTTTGTCTATTTGCGTCTGTAGATTTCTCCTAAATTCACCAAAAGTTAGCATTCTAACGTAACATAAAGTACCGCGACGGCTGTGTGCACCATGTCAACAGAGGTATCGATGGAAAGCTCCGTCTCTCCTGCACGATCTCATCGGATCCAAATATGGTCATTTCCTTTGTATCAGCAACCAATCGTGAAAGCACAAAGGGGTCTTAAACCAAGAAACGAAATCTCATTGGCTGGTGTCAATTTCTGACAACGTGATTCGTTCAGATGCGTCACGTGGTGTGCTAAAACACTTCCTGGTTAGCTTTCAGCTAGAAATTGAAATCTCAAAATGCCAAAAGAACGGCGAAAAAAACGTTCACAGAGAAGACGACAACAATTGTCACTTGCACGAAGCAAGGTTATAAAAAAATAAATGACCCCGAACATGAAATACCTTCACGGAGTGCGTCGATGCACAAGCTGTCATCCAAAGAACAGGAGGGTTTAGCTAGCGCCTCACTGCAATCTTTAAAGGTCGTTTTCTCAAAATGAGTTTTTTCTCCTACTCTGAGTTCAAAATGTCAACTTCAGTTGCACGTAGAGACACCAAACCTTCCAGTTATATTCCTATCAATATTATGAAGGCTTTTACAGAAGGGTTTGTTCATATATCATTCATAGCCTGAATTATACAACATTGTATACCTAAAAACATGGCGAAAATTGATATTTTAGGGCTGTTGACAGTATTTTCTGATTTATGGAATGATAAAAAGAGATATCCAATATCCCTTCTGTAAAAGCCTTAGATACTAATATGACTACAAAATGAAACAAGAATTTTGAATCTGGCTATATCCAAAGTTCAGATTTAGATTCCTGAAATGTGTTAAAATATGTGCATATTTAATGAGATAATGGATAATTTGCATATTTAAACATGCTAATTCAGAAAACTTGTAATACAAAAGACAATTGCCTTATTGTAAGTAATTAACTGGAGAAATTTCTAGCTGATACCTTTAAGTTAAAAAAAAATTACCCTATTCACCTGGGGTGTCTCGCCTTAAAGAAAAAGCCCTAACAAAACAGCAGGGCTCTATTTCAGTATTAACTAAAGAAAAAAAGACAGCAACAGCTGACATCAAATCTTTGCTGAGCCTAAAAAGAATCATAAATAAATAACAAATGTATTGCAATGCTTATCTTATGGCTCCTTTGCGAGAGCCGTTCAAAAGAGACGTTTTTTTTTAAGGGGGCGGGGTTAATAGGTTTATCTGCGAAATATACCTTTTTATAATTCAATCAAATGTAGCCCTATTTTGACTAATGATTTATATGTGTACATATATCACTTAAATGCTTCAATACATCCTTTGTACTGAAGCGTTCAAAAGTAAAAATGACATGTTTAATATAAATGATTTGCTGTGGCCAAATGTTTTCATTGCATGTACAGAGCCTTGTAACTCTCTGATTTGTAGAACCACGTAAAAGAAAAAGCAGATGGCAACTCCTACAAACTGACAACAAATCTTTGCTGAGCCAAAAAATAATCATAAATAACATAATGAAAATAAATATATTGCAACGCTCAAAACGGCAGCATCCAACCGTCTCTAATCCTTGGGTATTACATGTCACTGCCTGCATGCACGGAGCACCCGGAGGGCGAGATCATCATATTCTGTCTTGTATTACTTAACAACAAATAAATACATTTTAAAAAAACGACTCGTTCGCGACCGACACGTCATCATTCTTACGTCTATATTAAGTTTTGTTCCAACCCAGGTTAGCTCAATCATATACAGCAAAGAAAGGCTGCTTGATTATACATTTGAGTCTTTTTAATGATTACTCTAACAATGATGAGAAGCTATTCTACTGCCACGTTGGGGTTTGGATTGATCCTGTACATTCCTTCAGGGCATTTTAGACCTTCGCTATTGATTAATGCTGAGAGCGTTTAAAAACCTTTTGCGTGAGGACATCAAACCAAATACTGGACAGATAACCGCTTTCATTCAGTCGCTGCCTGGCGTACAGGCTGTGTTTCCATGCCATCCTACATCACTACGTATGACCTTGATGTACCCGGCTGGAAAAGCTCAGCCAATTTATTTTACATGTTAATGGGTTCAATGAAGGTCAGCACCCTCAACTGCCAATAAACACTCCTGGATGTCTTGTTTCATCCAAACACAACATGTGCTTATAAACTCTAATCTACTTTCTGCACTAAATGGGACCGGCTGAGTTTTTCAACACGTATTGATTTGTGTTCTTAAAGTAACTTTTTGCATAAGGAATTCTGAATGAAGTAAATGTATCATTTTAAAGGTTGTTATTGAAATATGTAATTAATGTTTGCCTTGTGCGACTGCCTTTTGTGTTTCCATTGATTCACACCGGCAATATGAGGAAGGAGCATTCCCCCTTTGCCACAGCAAGAGGAGCTGAGTCAGAACCCTTTAGTGGAGTTCATTCTAATGGGCAGAAGAGAGACTTTTATACACAGCCATTGATTGGCCTTCATTTAATGTAGTCAGCAGGGTATCAAAGGGTCTTTCCATAAGTGGGATGTTTACAGAACGACTGTCCAGTGGGGTCTGGTGCTGCGGTGACTCGTGCAGACTAATCCAGCAATATCAGGACGTTGTTCATTGACTTTCTCTCCTCACCCATTCACATGCACACTTGGTCTGATCTCTGGTCTCATTACTTCTGTCTGTGTCTAGCTATCTCCGCCTTCGCCTTGGCTGCGCTGGTATTACCGGGAACTTACCCCCACTACCTGGACTTGATCCACTCGCTGTCCGTCGGCCCCTATCTCATCGGGTTGGCCAAGTTCGGCCTCGCCTTCCCAGTATCGTTCCACACCTTGAACGGCATCCGCCACTTGGTAAGACCATCCATACCATGATTGTATTTTGTAGTTTGCTTGGTGTTAGCTAAAGAATTAAATGTTTCATTTTGATCACGTTCTTTCATTCGACTGATTTAATAAGACCAAGATGATGGTGGTGTTCTACTAAATGATCTTCTCTCTCTTCTCTCCCATTTGTTTATTATTTAAATCAGTGCTGGGACCTTGGCAAAGGCTTCAGGATCCCAGAGGTCTACCGCTCGGGCTACACAGTTATTGGCCTGTCCATCATCACCTCCCTGGCAGTGGCCTTCCTCCTCTGAGCGGAGGACCAGCGGAGAGGAGAGGAGAGGAGGAGGGAATGTAGATTGTATTCACTGCGGGGAGTTTTATGTATGTGTATGTTATGTTCCGGCCTACTGAAGGCACCATTTCGCCAAATTATGAAATAAAGGATTATATTATGCTGTATGCCGAAATGGTGTGAGTGTCTTTCTGAATGAATCGTACCCTGAAAAGCCTTGGGGTCATCAAATGCAGCCCAGGTTCAAAGTGCATGCAGATGTGACCCAGTTTATTTGACACTAGGGGTAAACAACCAGCGAGGCCTAATTATGTTGAATGTAATTGATCTCATTGTGCTGTGACGTCACTAATCCCTTTAGTTCGCTCGTCACTGCCTGCCGGCTGTGTCTGTGCTCAGGGTGAGTGGCGTCTGCAGGGCGGTTGTTTACTCCAGGCTGTCATTCATATTTTACCTTCTCCAGACCACAGCTGCTCGGATGCATTTTTAACATGAGGAAAGCGAGGCGCTGAAATGTGGAGAGGCAGCCCACTGGTGGAAGCTGTGTTTGTGAACAGGCTCCTCACCGGCATCCTGCCTCAGGCCTCCCCCCCCTGCTGAGCTGCACCTCCACAGCTTCTGTCCTACAGTGTGAATAAAAGCAAGCCGTGATGTCAAATCCACCCGCACTTATGTAGCGTACAGTTACACAGGGAAAACACAACTAAGTGTTGAGGCTGCACCCATACTGTTTTCTAGCGGCTTGTTTGAAAGTGCGTCTGTTTAGATCTACAGGACCTGCTCTGAGAAACCACACGACAACTTAGTCTGGTTAGCTTCAAAGTAATTGGTTTATCAATTTGTTACTGAAGGCTCGGAGGGAAAACATCTCGGAAGCTTGGATCTCTTTTCACTTGGCTGTTGATTACATTTATCTGTCAGCCACATGTGATGAAGCCTTAAAGGACTCGGCAAACTGTCTGCAGTAACTCTCAGTGTTATAAAGCATGAGTTTATTTGTTCCTTTTTGAAGGTGTGATATTCTCCTCGGAGCCAAATCAGCTCTTGATAAACATCTCTTCATTTACCGGGTTCCTTCTTAAACTAATTGGCAAAAACATCCCGTGCAGAATGGCTCTCTGAGACTTTTTGCCTGAGTGCAGATATGTTGGCTTCGAGATGATTCCCTACATTTAATTGAGTCTAATCCATGTTATAAGCACATTTCCATCTGAGCTAGAGATCCATCAGACTGCAATTTCCCATTGTGAATGACAGGGAAATTGCTCAAGCTCAGCGGGGTTTAAGAATTGATTTGCTTATACAGTAGTCTTCACACCAAACCCTGTAGACATATTTCCCATTTTAAAAGAGGTAATAAAAACATGGGCTGTTCACTGGAGCTATTCCCTGCAAGGCGTGAGCACATCGCCTCACTTATTGATGCCTTTGCAATGAGAGATGTTCCGCCGTTTGGTTTTGCTCTGATAATATCACCATTAGGATGTTTTGATGAGATAACCTGTGTGAAAGCAATGGGGGATGGAAACCAGGGGATTTAGCTTTCTCCATGAGACTTAATAAGAGCGCGCCTACAGCACCCCCTACCGGCCGGGAATATATCTTCCTCCGAGCTGCGGTCCTGATGCTGAGGATGCTGCACAGGCTGGGAGGGGGAGTATAAATCCATTTTTGATCGAAAAAAACCACGGCACAGTCTCTGTGGCGCAATGGAATAGCGCGCTGGACTTCTAATCCAGAGGCTCCGGGTTCGAGTCCCGGCAGAGATGATGAGGAAAGTGTTCCAGCTTTTTGAATGAGTGATGGAAACATATATCGTTTGGTTGGTTTTTCAGCCACAACGAATCCTTGCTTCTCTGAATACAGATATAACGGACAAATAGATATGCAGAGGCCAAAAGCAGTGCATCTTGACTGAATTGTTGAGGCTTTTCAGCACTCAAAGGTCAGCGATTTAATATGCACATCTCAAAGGGCAAATAGACTGAATACAAGGCGCAGTAGGGTCTTCGTTTCCAGCCTGCACTGTCAGGGCTGCAAGCTCTGGCTCCAGTCTCATAGCTCTGGTCATCACGCGGACGCACCACAGGACACCTCGTTTGAAAGTCAGTGGACACGGTTTCAGCACCTGGGGCTGTCCACTCGTTAAACCAGAGCAGGAGCTTTTTTAATGCAGAGCAACAACAAAACATTCAAATCCTTTCCATCCTCATAACAAGTGTTTAAGTATGCCAGATGCTGCGTTACTACTCTCCTGATTGATTTACAGAAAGGACTTCAAACACAAAAGACTCAGTGCCAGAACATTGTGTCGCTAACATTATTGTATGTGTGACCTGCCCCACCGGGGAGGGGGGGCTGCGATAATAAAAGGGGGTTAGGATACTTAACGCTAACCTGGGTTCCCCAATACGAGCCCTTAGGACAAGTCACGCAGATAAGAATAAAAGGATGGACAGGGACGCGGCCTCAAGTTCAAATGTTTACAAACGTTTATTATATAAATAATCAAGTAAAAGTTCAGTAATATAAAATGCAGATTTCAACTTATTCAGCTTTCCCAGTCGACACACCTAAGTCCCACGATTGAAGGCTGGCTCTGACAAGGAGAGAATAACTAGAATAATTACAATATCACACATATAGTGATAGTTAAATAGTTAAAAGGTGATTCTTCTGGCCAACTGCTGAGGGTTTGCCCAAAGCCACAATATCACCACGTGTAGCTGTATTCGATCAACACTCACTGCAAATCACCCATATCTGCATGCAAAAAGTGCCCAGCAAACCACATGCTCCACTCCACAGTATGGCCAGGATCGTCACTGAAGAAGTATAAGCACAGAGACAGTATTAGACCTTGTGGGACAGGGTGGGTCAAAAAGGGTGCTGTAGCTTTAAATCACTAGTTTGTACACAATACAACAAACTAGTCAATAAGCAAAACATAGAAGGCAGGCAAAACGGTAGCAAACTAATCCTAAAATAAATGGAGAAAGGAGATTAGAAATTGTATAAAGACTGAATGTCCTTCAATGTACATAGCCTACAATTAATCTCCTACCTCTGATGCAAACGCATTCACTCAATTATCACCTCACTGGACACCTCCGCAACGGTGATTCTCTACACAGTCTCTGCTGGGGCTGTCAAGAAGCCTGGCGTTTACAGGCCACATTTTAACAATTTAGTGGTAGGCCCAGGGCCGCCCCTGGCCAACTTGGGGCCCCAAGCGACATTGTGAGATGAGGCCCCCCCGAACCGACAGGAGTGAAACAAAATTTTTTTGGATACAAAGTAGGCTACTTTGCAAATATAATTCCTGTTTATTATTATTATCAACACTTTTTTATGCAGTGAGGTAAATGGTTGTGCATGTATGTCGTTCAGTATGCGTTTACAGGTACGTCTGCATTTCCTGCCAAATACTAGCCTCAAAAAGATTAAAATATAATTAATGCAAATAAACAACTTCTACTAATAATAATAATCAATTCAATAATATAAATACTATATTATTTTATTATAATATAGTTGTATAGTCAAGACAAAACATGCTTATGACATGCTCAAAAACTGATATTTCTTAAATCTGTATTCAAATGTAGTTCCCTCTGTCAGCAATGTATCAACAACTACACACACATTTCTATCAGTACAGTATTTTTCTGTGTTGTGATTGACATGATGATGACTGTTAGGAGTTAAGGGGAGAGGCTGAGCGTCACCATGAAATGTGCAAATTGACATAAAAATGAATATAAGGGCGAAAAATGCTCCATATTTTTTAGGCTGGAAACTTGAACTGTTATGTAAGCCAACTAGACAGACAGTGTATCACTCTTCCTCCTGTACATTAGCAGATAAAAGGCATCACATACTTGAATGAATGTTAAATAAAGAATGCTGGAAATAACTGCATCTCCATTAGCCTGTATGCTATGCAGAGACTGCCTTCTTCATGTCGTGAATTGCAGCTGATGTTTTAATATGGCAATTGGCAATTTGACTTATACAACATTCGCAAGTTGTTCATTTGACTCATACAATAACCCACTTTCGAGTGATGCTCTAGTTTCTTCATGTTTTGTTTTTTGCGCCGGACTGAAACTGTCTTTTCACCGACATCTCTTCACCTTCACTAGTGGCCGTATCAAAGCCGTGATTGGTCAGATGTCGATTCATTGCAACGGTGTCGGGTTACAGACCTGCTCCCCTTGTCACCTCTCACTCTCGCGTGTCAGCCGGGGGTGCGCGGAGAACTGAGCGGAGAACTGCGCACAGCAGCTGAGGCCCTCTGGGCGGGGCCCCATGCAGCCTGCGTGATTGGCCTGTAGGGAGGGGCGGCCCTGGGTAGGCCTACACTGAATGTTACAAGTCCTAACAGCAGCTTCACATACCTCGTATAGGGGGAATATCACGCATATCAGCCAGACAACGATAACTGGAACAAGAACACTCGTAATAGTCACAGCTGATTTGGGTGAGGAGCGAGTGGGCATTTAAAGTGTGGCGGGAGATGCTGAACTACTACAGCTGCGCGTTTTCCTTATATGGAAGGGCCAGCTGACTAAAGAAGGGGGGGGGGTGTGTGTCTTAAAGGGGCAGTGGCGGCCCAGCCACGTGAAGAAATGATCTGACAGCTAATCCAGAAGCAGTAGCGCCAGCTACATATGCATTTTTTTTATTGAATTATAGACTATAACGACAACGTGGTGATACAAGTGTGGAATAAGAATTGTGTGTTTTTAATTGAGTGAAATCAGACTGGGGACCTTTCTGGAATGCATTCAAGGACCCCTGAAGGTGGACTTTAGTTTCTACATGAGAAAAACCCACATTACCCAAATATTGGAAGCCCAAAGCAACACTCGCCCTTATATTTTTTTTCTTGGAGTATAGCAGCTGCTTTTTTTGTTGAAGATCTCACAAACGCCCCTGCTCTCTCCCTATGGGCATAGATATGTCTCATAATTATTTGTGTGAACATAAAAATAATTTGTGTGTAAATATGTGATTTGTAAATGTAAAACAACATCCACAAATGCATTTAAATGATTTGCAAACTCACAAATACATTTGCAAGTGTAAAACGGATCTGCAAATATGCTAAATATGTTCACAAATAAAAAAAAGATCTGTGAATATCTCTTTAACATTTACACCTTTCGATCA